CTCTCTGATCAGATTCGAGTAATCTAAAGGAGATGAAAACGTCTCATTATTACCTGACTAAGCATCACACTTAACGCTTTCAGGGCTGCACAAATCGAGGATGAGGTACCACTCAACTCACCTCATGAGTTTTTAGGCATACTTTTGGACGTGAAGTGCAAGCCCACGGCAGTATGAGATTAGTGAGGTGGTGCAGCGCCAACTACCCACTGCATTCCACTCATGGACTTAAAATGCGTTATTATGTGTGGATCATGTTCAACAAAAAAGCAATTTCTGACTTCGTAGAGAAGGCGATTTGCGCAGTTCCATAATCTGACATTTAAAATACCCTAAAAGGTCCAGCGCCAGTGGAACTATCAGGGGGTTAGGTCGTGTCGCGTCAACATCCACTTCATTTGGAAAGCAATTTCAAGTTTTAAAAAAAAAACAAAGGATGTCTCAAACTAACCATGCCTTTCCATTGGTCGTGCCTCTACCACCTCCTCTTCCTCCGGAGCGCCAACCGAGATTATTCTCTCAATTTCGTTTAGCAAAGACCTACTGTGTGGATCATCCAGATTCAGGGAGAAGTTGTCCTCCATTGCGTGGGACGGGTGTACGTCTTTGAGCATTCGATTCATCTCAAAGCAGGTCTCGCCAATGCTTGAATATAATGCCTATCCAACAAAGCGTGAAACAGGCTAGATGATTCCCCTTTCAGTCTGCTGCTGTAACAAGGAGTGCTGCAAAAACATGCAACCTTTGACTTGTGTGACTTTCTTTGAAAGTGGAACATTTCTACTGCCTGGTGTCGCTAACATCGCTAGTAAAAGTGAGATGCGATTGGCCAACTGTGATCACTCGAGAATTAAAGCGTAAAAACACGCTCAACACTACCAATTTAGTAGGACTACTACAGCACTCGATTTTTGCGACCACCTTCATGACTGGTTGGCACTGTGACACTTCTCTTGCACTTGTTTGTTTGTTTGTTTGTTCGAGTCATGCCGAAGCGCGATTCCTGTCCTTTCACCTACAATGGTCGCAGCGGTGGGGTACGTAAAAAGTGGGAACGACAAGAGCGAGTTAATGCCAT